GAGAAAGACCTGGCAATCTGCTTCCAGGAAGAGGACAGCCAGTCCAGCAGACCTGAGTGGCCTGTGGGACCAGCACTGGGCTGCTAACCAGAAGGTCGGTGGTTGAAACCCTCTAGCCTGTCCAAGGGGAAAAGATGAGGCTGTTTGCCCCCCTAAAGATGTGCATCTCAGAAACCCAATGAGTCGAATGAGCTCGATGGCAGAGGGAAGAAAGGCCTCCAGGGGGGTCAGGTCTCCTCTACTGCACAGGGCAGAGTCCCAGTCCATGTGGGACACACGCAGCAGCAGCAGCACACAGCTCACACTACAGGCCCCCCCAGTTCCTACACACGGCACGGCACCCACTCTTCATCCCTTTAAGAGCGCGTTCGCAGAGGTGCGTTTCCGGTTATGGGAGTCTCAGGGAGGGCCCTCACTGACCATGGGCTGTGATTTCTCTTCAGTCATCCTGCGTCCTCTGAAACACCCGCCAAATTCCCAGCTTACAAATTGTTTTCAAATATCCTGACACTCGTGTGGACGGACACTAAACATCTACCAAGGTTGACATGCTGCTTCCCCAAAGGCCTTTAATTGAACAGTTAGCCATTTCACTCCACCTTTTCCCTCTTTTGCAGCCCCTGGAGTTTTTCTTCCCAGCCCCCAACCTGCCCCAATTTTCCTGGTCTTCCCTCAAAGTCAGGGGACTCTCACCTCCTCAGCCCCCTACACACAGTCCAGCAACACAGAACCCCCCCACCCCAACTGACCAGTGTTCCCAATTTGGTCGGGGGTGGCGGGGGTGTTAGACACTAATTGAAATGGTTGGCACCTCTCTTGGGGTTTGACACAAACAATGTGACACCTCGAGGGGGCGAACGCGCTGAGCTGGATTTGCACTCAATCAGGATCCCCAGCACCCTAGCCAAGCTCCACACCCCTCGTCTCCAGGACACTGCCACTCCCCACCTGCTCCCCTCCACTCTCCAGGGAGGTGGTCCTGGGGAGGGGACCCCCGTGGGTGGAGTGGGGTAAGGTGTGGCCTGGGGTGGACCCTACTGGGCAGCCTCACAGGGGTGGCTAAAGGAGGCAGGTTGGTTTGCCTGTTTTCTTGTGCAGTTTGGGGCCTCTTAAAGCTAACCAATTGTTTGAATTCGTTCTTCCTTCACACACACCTCGCAGGCAAGGGATGACCCAACTTTAAACCTGTTTACATCGGGGCCGCCCAGCATGCCTCCATTGCTGAGGGAGCTGGGGTGGGTTGCCCCAGAGCAGATCCATTTGTATCAAGAACAGTCCAAAAGCATCAATAGTTTGGAACTCCACTAGTAGGAACTCTGGTTGGACTGCTAACCTCAAGTCTGGGGTTCAAACCCACCAGCTGCTCTGAGAAAGGAAAATGAGACTGTCTTAAAGGTTGACAGCCTCTGAAACTCAGGGTCGCTGGGTCAGCACTGAGTCGATGGCAGTGGGGTTTGGGCTTGTTATTGAACTTCATTGGTGGGTCCGTGGTGTGTTGGCATGGTTCCAACCCAGGGACCTCATGTGACTCAGCAGAACTGCCCCATGGGGTTCCGTGGGCTGCAAGCTTTATGGGGGCGGATGGCCAGGTGTCTGCCTGCAGAGCCACCGGGTGGGTTTGAACTGCCAACCTTTGGGTTAATAACCGAATGCCCCGCTGTTGTGCCCCCAGGACTCCCTTTGGGCATCGAGACTAGGGTAATAAACTATAAAGCCTTCAATGCAATGTTAATGATCGCTAATGTTTACTGATAGCTTACTGAGTGCTTTATACTGGATGGTTAATAAATCCAAAATCAACGCCATGAGGGAATATGGTAAACTGAGGACTTGGATGTATCTCTACACGTATAACCACGGGCATGAACCACGGGCATGAAAAACCGGCCCTACTTTGGAAAAGATCTCCATAGTTCCAAGATGGAGGTGCTTTCAAATACACGTGCCCTACCTCCCCCCATTAGCAACCCTCCTTAAGGAGCAGTCATAAAGGAGCTACCATGAAAAGATTGATCAGTCCTGTCTCTGGCTGCCCACTACCCCTGGGGGCTATCTGTAGATAAGGGCACTCAGGTTCTATAAGCCCAACTCACTGCAAAATGTAGCAAACTCACATCCTCTTCTGAAATGGGTTGTAGATTGCTACCCCAGGGGAGGGCTCAGGGTCATTCATGGTCACTAAGCACTAGGTCAAGACATGACTCACCTCACTGCTGGTGTATTACGCTACCCGCTTATATGAATCCACTAACTAGGTATGAGTTCACTGTGTGACATTGTGCCTTTTGAAAGATCCGTAAGCCCAAATATCGATACCTATTGAAAAATACACTCTTTGTCCTGAGATAGGGATACGGTGCTCCTGGGGCCTGCTGTCTGTCTTTATTCTCCACAACTGCAAAGTTGCTCCTGAGGACTTGTTGGGAACCAAACCCCTGACAAGGGAAGTTGTATTATTCCCATGAAACAAGTGAGAAGCAGGGGTGCTGAGAGGCGAAGCAACTGCCCAAGGTCACACAGCCTGAGAGTGGTGGGGCCAAAACCCAAGCCCAGGAGGCCTGATTCCAGATGTAGCAATGCTGGCCAGGCCACCAGCCCAGTTACTCGTCAGACAAGAGCTGTGATGGCAAATTACAGTGGGGCTCACAATAGACAGTGCATAGTAATTAGTGTTATTTGCAGGGTATTTTAGTGAAATGTAGAAATGATCTGAAATGCACAAAGCCACACAAAGCCATACATATGGTCTCAACACTTAAAGGACCTTTTAGAAAAGATTAAAAGGAGTATATGGATAAGAAAATACATAAAGAGATCTGGGTATGCAGTGGAGGATGAACACATAATTGATGTTGGTAGATTCTGAGTGAGGTTGTTTTCTTCCCATTCTTCTACGTTTCCTGGATTTCTTTAATCATGAGAGGGAAAAGTCTGAAGGCTTTACAGTTTTAAGGCTGTCATACTTGAGAGCCAAACCTCCAGAATCGAGTTGCTCAAACAAATCACGGGGCGCTGACTAAGGAACTCCTCAAATCGGTCATGATCTCAGAGCTCGGCCTCAGAACGCACTGAGAACACACCCGGGACGACACAAACGGAATCGGGGCGTCTACTCAACGTCAAATTCCAGGAGCAAACGGAGCCCCCACTGGCCTGAACGCCAGCAAGGGACAGAGTTCTAGCCTTCGGGGATCTTCTAGAAAGACCTTCTGATCTTGTCTTGTAGATGGAGAGTAGACCGCACTCTGATTAAGCACATCCGCCGCCTTCTCACGTTCCCTTCCCCTTGGAAAGCACCGTTGCTTGGCGCTGAGGGAAGAGGAGGAGGGGGCTGGAGGCTGGAGGCTGAGCTCTAGTCCAGGTCCTGCCTCGGGCCCCTTCACCTCCCGAGCCTGTTTCTGCTCCAGGAAACCCGCCAGTGGTGCTCAGTCTCAGGCATCATCCAGCTCCGACACTCAGTTCTACGGCCCGGAAGTGACTCGGAGGGTCACCGTGAACTGGAATCGACCGGATGGCAGTTGAGGCCATCCCTACAATTGGTGGCAGTTTGTGCTAGGCTGGAGGTCCTTCTTGACCACAGTCATGGGGGTGGGGGTGGGGGGCAGGGAGATCACAGGCCAGTGGAGGCAGAATCAAGTGAGTCCATTGTCCACAGGCAATATGCCAAGCCACTAACAACTCCCAGAGTCAGCGACATGGCAGACCACTGCCCGTGTCCCAAGCCAGCTGCAGGATCCAGGCCAGTAAGTATAAGGAAGTTCTCCACGTAGTCTACCGATGTGAAGCAGGCACCACCCCTGAGGAGGCACCACAAGAACTGTGACCTGAGCCAGGGCTTGCACTCTACCCAAATCCTCTTGCAACTGCCTTGTTGCCCAGAGCACGGAGTTGTTCACATGATGCTGGGTCACACGACAGAGGAGGCATCAACTGTCAAAACAGAGAATTCCGGTCCTGCTTGCGGGTTCAAACTCAGTGAATGGTGGCGTGGAAGAAAGGCCTGGCCGTCAGCCTCCATGACTAGTGTTGAGCATTAGAGCCAAGAAGCACCTCTGGAGAACCTGTTTCCACCCTGAGACACGTGGCCCTGTCATGAGTCAAGCTCGAAGGGTTTTCCTGGTTTTGTGACTTTCGGTCTGGCAGGGGAAGCCTCTGGGATGGACCCTGGGTCTCAACCACGGGGATCAGGCGTGCTTAGGCCCAAGTATTGTGGGTTCCTGCTGAGGGGCACGGGGCCAGATGCAGACCTGCTCTCCCCAAGTGTGTGCAGGACTCCGGTACAGGAGCTGAGCTGGGGGTGGGCGGATGACACAGCTACGACATAGCTCCCAGTCTTCAATTACACACGGGCTCCCACTGCTCTTGGGCGATTGTCACTGAAGCCGTGGCCTGTGTCTTCCCACCACAGCTGCAGGAGGCTGCAGGCAGCCGCAGCAGCAGCAGCCCCAGGCTTCTCTGAGGCTCGGATTCTGCACATACAGGGCACACCCCACCCTCCTTTCCACACAGATGTCAGCCTCCTGTGACCTCTGTGTCCAAGGAGGCACCCCAGAAGCCCTAATTCCTGGACATGAGGTATGGGGCAGACCCACGTTGGTTAAGGGTGCATTCAGAATGCACCAGCTTGCTCCAACTCTTCACAATACAATCTCCTGAATGTGGGAGCAATTTACACCATCCACCACCACCACCAACACCCCAACCCCGCCAGTTGTGTCCCCAAAGCTGAAGAACCTTAGCTTAAGGTCTGCTTTTAAGAGAGCTGTAGGTGGGGGCAGAGGGGATGCCACTCCCACCATGCTGTTGTGGCAGGGATGTAACTTGGGGCACAAGGTAGGCTCCTGTGGATCCCTCCCGCCCCCTCCCACCAATTCCCATGGGCAGAGGTACATCAGCCAGCCCAGGCACTCTCCCCTGAAAGCTCCATTCCAAGTGATGCCGGACCCCTGCCCTCAAGGGCCTGGCCAGACCTCTCCCCCTCCCAACAGAGACCCTGCCTGCCACATTACTTAAATAATCTTTATTCGTCGTGCACTAGGAAAGATAGGACTGTATCAAACACTACTTCACAGCAAAGCCCTCGGTTGGGATGTGACACACAGGGCTGCCGGGATCTGGGACCGTCCCAGGGACGCCACCTCCAGGGCTGGTGGCTGACCCAGCCTCAGGAGCCGTGGACACAGTGCAGGGTGCTGCCCCTCCCACAGAGGCACAGGAAGTTGGCAAGGGAGCACGCGGACTGGAGGAAGGACGGAGAGGGGCTGTGGGGGCAGTGGCCAGGGGTGGGGTGTGGGGGTCCTGCCCCAGCACCTCCAAGGTCGGAGTCCACCCCCTGGGGACCAGGCAGCATAGGGTAACCACTGACCTCTGGCAGCAGTAACAGCCAGGTAAGCAAGGTTGGCCAAGCCTGACTCCTTTGACTCCCGCAGGCGGCCCCTCCCCCTCTGCCCCCTCCTCCACCGGCCCCGCCCTGGCCGGCCACTGAGGTTCCAGAGGGAGCAGGGCGGGGCCGGCCCTCCAATCCGAAGCCTGGCCATCCCGCCCGGCAGCAGCAGGCTCCTGGGTGTGGCTCCCTCGGGGTGACAGGGGCAGCTACGGGGTCAGACATGCACAGGACAAAACACGGAATAACGGAGCCATGCAGAGACCCGGGCGTGAGGGGCAGGACCTGGGAACGAGGCGTGGTCATAACGCCGGCCCAGTGGTCGAGGCTGGTCCGTTCACTGGGGTGCTGGGCTGGTGGGGAGCCCCGTCTCCTCGGGGATGGTCTCCAGCATCTCACTCTGCACGGCCTGCGTGATGAGGGCCAGCTCCTGGCACAGCGTCTCGTGGCGGTAGCCCACACGGATGTCGGGCACGTTGGTGCGGCGGATGTCGTTGCCCTCAGGACCCTCCTTGGTGTAGTTGGGTCCCAGCCAGTGGCTCTTCACCTGAGGGAGTCGGAGTCGGGAGAATGGGCAGGGCTGCAGCAGGCTGGGATACTACCCTAGGGGCTGGGCCAGGGCAGGAGGAAGGGGCCTCCCGGAGCAGGCGTGCTAGGGGCAGACGCAGGATGTACCTTGTGGGAGAAGCCGCTCATGAGCACGCTATTGCGGGCCAGCTCACACATGTCGCAGGAGCTGAGCTTCCACACCTGCGTGGCGATGCTGTACTCCTCCATCAGAGGCTCCTGCACGGGAGAGGCGGTCAGTCAGGAGCCTCCGACGGCTCACCTGAGTGGGGGGCAGCGCCAACCCTGCCAGGCCCCAGTGCTGGGCACCTGGAGGTCCCAGCCCCCTGCAGGGCACTCACCTTGGTGAAGTGAAACTGCAGGGGGTCATCAGTGGACAGTGAGACCATGAGGCCACGCGACAGGTACTCGGGGAGCGGGTTCCGGTGGTAGCTGAGAAAGAGGCTGTTGTTGCTGAGCGGGGACATGGCGATGCCAATCTGGGCCAGGTAATACAGGTACTGAAGCACTGGAGCCTGGCAGGCAATAGGGAAGCCGGCCTGTGAGGTGGCCTCCAGGCTGGGAAGGACATGCTGACTGTGGGGCCCAGCCAGGCCACCCTGCTGGGTGGGGGAGGAAGTCCAGGTTGGGACTGCTGTGCAGAGGGGCACTGGGAACTGGGTAGGGGGAGCTGACGGGGGACAGGTAGGTGGGGACGGCGCTCACCTTGCGTAGCAGCAGCCCGTGGGAGATGTTCTCAGCCAGCATGAAGGCTGACACCAGGTGGTGGATGGGCCCAGCCTCCCCGCAGTGCGGCCTCAGCACAAACGTGTGGAAGCCCCTCTGCCTGTGGGGGGGGTGGGGGAGGACTGGTCAGATCCTAAGTTTGGGCTCCAGGGCCCCAACCTGTGGGCCTGCCCTCCAAGCCAGTAGCACTGTGGGCCTGCCAGGCATAAGAGGGCAGGGTAGCTCTTGCTATGTGCATGTGCAGGGGGAGGGGGGGGAAGAGGGGAAGCGACAGAGCCCCCAGGTCCAGAGAAGGACATACACAGTACAGGTGGGAGGATGACCAGTGAGCTAGGGCTCTGGTGGCCCCAGCCAGGCCAGGCCCAGAGCAAAGCCAGGTCGGGGTGTGGGGGGAGGCCAGCCAACAGCAGAGGGCAGACAGGCACCTGCGCAGGTGGTTCAGTGTGACCATGTTGGCGAAGGTGTAGTAGAGGTAGTAGGAGTAGGGTGGGTTGTCCTCCTCCACCCAGGCCTCGGGGAGGGGGCTCTCCATGTTGAAGACGTGGTTCTCTGGCTTGGACTCGTCGTCCACGCTGTCAAAGCCATCCACCTGGCACAGGACCCTGAGGTCAGGCCCAGAGCCGTGAGCCAGCTGGCTGGCTGCCCTCCACCCCAGGCTGCCCACTCACATGCTTCAAGAAGAGATGCAGCTCCGGGTGGCTGGCGGGGTGCACGGTGGCCTCGAAGAGTGGCATGAAGATGTTCTCCAGCATCTCCTGGAAGTTGGCCAGCTGGCCCTTGGTTCGATACACGTCACTGCAGGGGACACACACACACAGGCCAGCAGGGTCAAAGGTAACACAGGGCACACAGAACCCCAAAGGAACCATGCAGAGCCTTGAATGGCCCCAGGCAGGGGGTAGAGGGCTAGTGGGGGCCGTGGACTCACACCCCAGGGACACTCACAAGAGGCGGGGCACCTGCACAAGCCAGCGCACGTTGGGCGAGTGCACGCGGTGCATCACAGCCCAGCGCGCCAGCTTGTCCCACTCGTCCCTGGAGCGCCCGTAGATGGACAGCCGCAGCTCAGCATTCTGGTATTTGCTCTCCTCCAGGTCCGACATCACCTCCTGGGAGACACGTCGTGGGCAGCAGCTGTCAGAGCTGGTGTCCCTCCCACCCAGCCACCTCACAGCGTGCCCCTCCCACAGGCTCAGGACAGCTGCTGCATGGAATCTGGTCTACTTTTGGTACGGAATCGTCGGAAACATCTAAAAGCTGAGCCTGCCTCCCTGCGCCGTGGCACAGGGTTCAGAGAGCATCAACTCTGTGCTTGGCGGGTTAGGAATGAAGACGACAAGACGAAGCAGGTCGCCCAATGCATACACCCCGGTAGGGCAAGCCATTGGTAAGCACACACATCGTAAGCACAGTAGGATGCTAAGCATCGTAGATAACAGGAAAAACAGCAAGATCACACCAGATATGTGGGTGGGGTCGGGATAGCCTCTCAGATGGAAAACACTGCTCTGGTATGAGATGACCCATGTGATAGTGCTATGTCAGCTGGGCACTGAGGGGTGGACGACCCACCCGGCGAGCAAGGGCAGTACAGGCTTCTTTTGCCTTACTCGCTCATCTGCAGTGAACTGTGGCGTGAAGGCTACGTACACTTGATCACTACAGATGAGTAAGTAAGCACAAGTAAGCCGGTGCTTACCTTGCTTACTGGGTACTCTGACCCTGTGTCGGGGGTTATAAGTTTGAAAAGGTGCCATGGTGTTGGGAGAGGCAAATGCCAGCCATACCGAGAGGCAGGATTTTTGAAGTGGTGAAAAACGTGTGTATTTATTCACGACAGATTAATCACTAAACACAAGTAAGCCTGTGCTTACCTGGCCCACTGAGTGGTCCCATACTGACTACGGTCATGGCATGCTGGCTGTATGTATGTATACAGGCCCTGACCCTGGGGCACAGAGGCCGGCTCGGCAGCTGCTCCTCTTTACCTTGATGATGTGAGCAAAGTACTTCCCAGAGACCCTGTTGTCAGTCTTGATGAAGATCTCCCGCAGGACGGACTCCCCAATCGGGTTGTACTTGGCATTGAACTTGTCAAAGCGATGGAAGGTATTCCTGTCCTAAGGGAGATGGGCAGGCCTCAGTCACCCACCGGCGGCCACATGACCCTGCCCCTCCGCCCAGGGCCCAGGGCCCAGGGACAGACCGCGTGCACATCGAGTGTGTCCACACTCAGGTCGTAGGCTGTGAGGTTCATGCTCTCGAACACCTCCCGGAGCGTCTGCTCTCGGCCCTGCTCCACGTGCACGATCTCCTCCAAGTGCCGCTTCATGGCCCGCTTGATGAAGCGCAGCAGGTGCTTCTGGTTCATGCAAGACGAGGCGTGGATGTGCGTGTCCACCTGGGGGGAGCAGGGGGTGGTGAGTGGGCCCGGGATCCAGGAGGGGGAGGCCAGGCCAAGGCACAGGGTCGGGATGCAGAGGGCCCCATGGGGATGCCCACCTTACGGATGTTGTAGAAGTCCCGGTGGGGCACCTTCTTCTGGGCAGCCAGCTCCTTCATCTCGTTCAGCAGCACATGCATCTGGAACTTGGAGCTCAGGTACTGCAGCCGGCGGTAGCAGAAGGACTTTCTGGGCAGGAGAAAGAGCATGGCAGGGTAGCAGGGCCCAAGGGAGGTGCCTGGGGCTGCAGGAGGGCTCAGGGACTAGCCAGGGAGAAGACTCATGAGAGCTAGGGTGGGTGGGGGGCAGGGCTAGGGCCAGCAGAGGGCTCACATGGGGCCGTTGATAATCAGGGCCATCAGCACATTGACATCAGCCACGAACTCCTGCAGGTCAGGGTAGGGCAGGTCCAGCTCTGCACAGCTGACACAGGGGGAAAGCAGGTAAGGAGAGTAGCCGGACTCAGCCCCCCATCACGTACCAGGTCCTGGCACAGTCCTCCCCCCATCACACACCAGGCCCCAGCATTACCCTCCCATCACAAACACACTGGGCCCCAGCCTGACACCCCTGGCCCAGCCCCTATCTGAGCACCCCCAGCCTCCCTCGCCCCCCCCCCCAGCACACACTGGACCTGGCCTCTTCTCCAGCCCCCCTTGGAGGCCCCAGCACACTCCCCAGGCCTCTTACTGCTCACTAGGCTCCCGGCTGGTGTAGACATGTACCACGCCCTGCACCATGCGCAACCCGAAGCCCAGGTCCCCGGGCATGGTGCTGGGCTCCCAGTGCTCATACGGGTGCTGGTCCAGCGCAGGAGGGTGCACTGGGGCATCTGCGGGTCGGGGGAGTGAGTAAGTCCAGGCCTCTCCCAATCTTCTCTAGCACCCCCATTCCAAGCAGCATGATGAAGCCCAAGTGCTTATCCAATCCCCTCTCCCCCAAAGACTCTGGGGAGGGGGAGGGCTGTCAGAGACCCTGGCAGGGCAGCTCCTGGCCCTGCTTCAGGTCCCTGCACCCCTGCCCCGCGCCCCCAAGAGGCTGTGCAGAGCCTGGCGGGCAAGTAAGCAGCCAGGATCAAGGCTCCAGGGCCCCAAGCCCAGGGTCCCCGAGGAGGCAGGGCACTAAGAGTGGGGCAGGGATGGAGGTCCCACCGGCAGGCACAGGGGTCTCGGCCCCTTGCTCATAGGTCCGGGTCTCCAGAGGCTTCTCGGCCAGCTGCTGCAGGTGCCGGCGCGTGGTGGGGCAGAAGCTCTGCAGGGACAGGGCCATGTACTTCTCCCGGATGAAGAGGGCTCGCACCACACTCTTGGCTGCATCCAGCAGGTCTGTGAAGGGCACCTGGAGGACGGCCTGAAATCGCACCCCCGCCTCGATCCCAGACCCAGCTTCTTCTTCCGGAGACCCTAACCCCAGACCCGCTGACAGACAGCCTGTCCTCCAGCCAGGCTCATGCTCTCCCTCCCTGCAGGCCGAGCTCCCCGGGACCTGCGCATGGGCCCATGGCCCCACTCACCCCACACTTCTCCTCCCCAGAGATGGTGACTCGCTGAAACTCCCGCTCCAGTGGCCCGTCCCGCTCACGCAGGCCCCAGTCGCCCTGGCCCTCACTTTGCTCCTTGTAAAGCCTGCATGGGGGGGAGGGGCGATGGAGGTCTCCCAGCACGCTGGGGGCAGGCCCCCCCGCTAGCCCCCGCCCCCCTCCAGCCCCCTGCCCTCCTCACTGTAGGTTCGAATCACTGTCGGTCTTCAGGAAGTCCTGCTTGGCCCGAAGCAGGATGTCTGGCTCCAGCCTAGAGGGAAGAGGGCAGGCCGATACCAGGGCAGCCCTTGCTGCCTGGTCTGGGTGCCGCGCATGACGGGCACAGAAAAACCCTGTGCCGCGGGTGCTGACCTGGCCCCACTTTGGAGGAGAGAAAACGGACCCTGAGTTGAGCAAGATGCTCCAGGCCACGGTGACTGGGGGCAGGGCGGAACGCTAGTGCAGGCAGCCTGACTGCCAAGCCCGCGCCAACCACTGCCCTGTGCTGCCTGCCCTGAGGTTAGGGGCCTAGGGGTAGCAGGCAGAGGGGCGCTGGGAGAAGAGTGGAGGGGTGGAGGTGGGTCGGGCGCTCACTTGACATCCTGGCTGATCTGCCGCTCCAGACGCTGCCTCCGCTCCTCCAGCTGCTCGATGGGGCTCTCCTCCGGGAACTCGTAGGGGGCACTGCGGAGCTCACTCTCCGCCAGGGAGCGGCTGAACAGCTCCTGGGGGAGGGAGGGGAGCCCACAAGGGAGGGTGGGTGCCAGGGCTAGCTGGGTGTGCCCTGCAGCCTGGGGCGGGAAGGCGGGGAGCGGCGGGGAGGGGCACTGCCAGGAGGTACCTCTGCGATCTCCTTGCACTTGCCGTCCATCGAGGTGCGCAGGTCCAGGGGGAAGTGCTTGAGGCAGGGTGCGGGTCCCGGCAGGGAGCGGGCAGACTGGAGTGGTGGGGCGCCCAGCCCGGCCCGGCTCTCTGTAACCAAAGTGGAGTTCAGGGCCAGCACTGGGGTGCCCCTGGAAGCTTGGGCCCCTGCCTGCCCAGAGGGAAATTGGAGAGGGCCCAGCATGCAAGTCTGGGAGTCTAAGGAAATGAGGCTTGGGTGAGATCTTGAGTCAGGCTGGGACACATTGCTCTTTGGCCCCAGGGTGAGGAGACCCTGACTCCTGACCTAGGCCTGCTCCAGCATGGGAACCTGCCCTGAGCTGACAGGCAGGCAGGCACACACAGCAGCTCATTAGGGAACCCCAGACCATAGCTCCAGGCAGGTAGGCCAGGACCAGGCCTAACAGACACTCCAGCAGACCACAGGGGCAATGCCAGTGGCCACTCGGCTGACCTGGGCCCAGCCCTCAGGGCGGAGCGGACCTGTTGGGCAGCAGGAGCCTCTCCTGGGAGGCCTGCCCTCTCCCCCAGGACCCCAAGGCTGCCAAGATGTGGCCTGGCCCCAGCTGGCCACTCCTATATTGGCCGCCCCTCCAAAGGGAGCTGCCACAAACATGCAGTGCCACTCTGAGGCCCTAGGTCACAGGAGTCTCCACTGAGGGCAGATGGCCTGGGCACCCGCTGGGAGGCTGCCGGGGAAGGCCTTGGAACTGAGCTCCCAGCCCACCCTCAGGGACTGTCCCTGACTCTTCACACCCAGCTTGGCTCTTGCGGCCAGGTTTGGGGTGCTCCCCTCAAGCACACTCTTTTCCCCTCTCTACTCTGGCTTCTGGAAGGATTGGGGGTTCATCTCGGAAGTCCATCTTAAAAGTCTCCATGCCCACTTCCCTGGTTCCCAGATGGCCAAAGGAAGTGGGGGACAGGGGAAGAACCACCCCAAATCCAGGGCTCAGCCCCCTACCCCAGCCCCTCCCTGGGCCCTACCTGCAGAGTTCAGGGGCTCCCGTCTGCAGCCCTGTGCCCCTTGCCCAACTGCCAGCTGTGTGAAGGAAGCTGCAGCCAGTCCCCCAGGACAGCTCAGGGGGCCGGCACGGGCTGTACCAAGTGCAGCAACCAGCAGGGGAGACCCTGGGATGACGGAGAAGCCCAGGGGGCTGGGGGAGTTCAGGGGAGCCCAGAAATCCGTCAGGAGAACCCTCGTAGGGGATCAGGGCCTTAACCTCCACAGTGCTAGGGCCCAGTCAGATGTGGGGCCCCCAAGGGGGAGGAGCTGGACAGGCTGATAGGAGCTGGGCAGGCTGGCAGGGAGGAGACCCACAGTGGGCAGGGCCTGAGTGGCCAAGAGGTAGCAGTCGGGCTCAGCTGTCCCCCACGCAACCTCTGGGCCCAGCCCCCTCTGGGGGGACTGGCTGGCAGTCAGAGCCGTGCAGCCAGGGAGGCTTCCCTGCTGCCCAGCTTCCTGAGAGCCAGTGTATGGGCCCCTAGACCCAGGGCTCTGGTCCCAAGCCTATAGTCAGGGACAGGGCACACTGCCCAGAAGAAGGGTCTAGGGAAGACTGGAGTCTGCCTCTATTCCCACTTCCAGGCATGCCTCTACTTCTCGAAGCTTCAGGCCCTCCTCCATAAAAACCAGGGGTGAAAAGAGGTTGCCCTCACCCTGCTCAGTCAGCTGAGTCAGGTTCTGCAAGTGTCCCTAAAACCCCAGACCAAGGGGCTGTGCCAATAAGACTCTTGGGACCCTCAAAAATCCACATGTAGCCCACCCACTGCCAGATTTGGAGGTGGAGAGAGGGAGGGGGCAGGGCAGTGTCTAAGTCAGGACAGAGAACTTGGGTGGGGGGGGAGGGTAGTCAGGAAGGCCACCAGAAAACAGGCCCCTATCCTTCCCCTAGGATGTAAGATAGAACTTAAGGTCCTTGGTTGCCCCAGAACCCTGATTCTATCCACCTTCTCCCTCAAATACAGCCCCAGGCCACCCCCAACCCCAAACCGCAGCCTGGGTGGGCAGGATGAAGCCAAAGGCCCCAATCTCAACGCCCTCTCCCTCTGGGGTGGTCGGAAGCCCCACAACTCTTATGAGGGGGACAAGAGCAGGTTTTACCAGCCAGAGCCATCCCACATCTGCCATGGGGCTGCTGCTACATTCTGTGGGGGTAACCTCCACACTTGGGGGGTCAGCGGGTGTCAAGACCTAGGAAACTCAGCTGTCTGCTGGACCCTTCTCTGGGGTCCTGGCCATAGCATGAGCCACACCCACCTGGAGAGGCCACCAGGCTGGAGGGGGCCGACCCCATCAGAGCACAGCTACTCCAAGATTGTGCTCCACCCCCTACCCCCTAGCCCCTTCCCAGGGTCTTGCAATGACCAGGAGCTCCCTGACTCACTGCCAAGGATGTGAAGAAGAGTAACAGATTGGCTCACCATGTGCCAACCCAAGGTCTCTGGTCCAGCCCTAGCCCCGGGAGATACACCCTCTGCCTGCTGCCCTAGACCTGGGCACAGAGAACCAATGCGGACCCTCAAGGCAGTGTAGGCCCCCAGCCAAGCATCTTCAATGGCATACACAACGCAGATGGGGGGACACTCAAGCTGTAGGCACAGACAGCTGTTGGGGGGTGGGGGGCCGCTTGACAGGTCACCAAGGTGGAGATGGATTAGGGCTCAGTCCCCAGGGCCAGCAGGCAGCCCCTAGCAGGCAGACTGGTCAACTGAACCCTTGAGAGCTGAGGAGGCACCTCCGCTGTGCTGCCTGCTCCAAATAGTGCAGAGCTGCCTCCAAGGATGGAAGCCAGACCAGCGGGCGCAGGAACATCCGCAGTACCGCAGCTGAACCCCCGAGGGTCAGACTCAAGGAACCCAATCCCCCTGGGGGCTCACACACAAACCGGAATCCAGCAAACAGCCACACAACTGAGCCTCCCAGATCCGGGGTGCCCGCTCGAAATGGCAGACCCCCTCACCACCCCAGCCAAGAGGTTCTAGGTCTGGGGTCCCCAGAAGAGGAGCTAGCTGCAAGAGCTGAAGCCTGCCTGGGAAGGCACAGCTAAGCTGGCCAGTCCGAAAGCCAGCTGTCTCCACACACTCCCATTCTATTCACACACACGCATACACACAAACCGTTCACAAGTTGACACGTGTGCAAACACACCTCCTGCTGCACCCACTCACGCCCACTCCTTGTTCCAGAGAACAGGATCCCGACACAGAAGCCGGACATCACCACCCCCATTCTACCCACACGGCCTTCCAGACAAGCGTCCCTACAATCGAGGGGGGGTGGCAGCTCCACAGGGAGGGTGCCCCCAGAAGGGACGGTGGTCTGCTCTAAAGGTGGTGAGCAGAGCAGCGCCCGAGGCCGGCCAGGTAGCACCGACTCACTCACCTGGTCCTGCAGCGGCAGCTTGCAGGCTGGACCGCTTCTTAAAGGGATATTTGGCCTTGGGCTTGCCGGGGCCAGAGGGATAGGATGCCATGGCTGGGGCGGCAGCGACAATGGGGGGCAGTCTGAGCGGCTCCGGCAGGGGCCTCGCTCGGCCACCTCCAACCCCTTCCTCTGCCCCGCCCCCAGCGGGAGTGACTGATGCAGGAAGCAGAGGCCTGGCAGGCGGAAGAGGCCCTGGCCTTGATTTCTGATGTTGTCTTGGCAACCTCAGGGAGCGGGGCCTCCATCCCGCCCCTGATCTCTCCCCCACACTCCTCCTTCTCAGTTCCCGGAGTGACGCGGTAGATGGTGGCGGGGGGGCCGGGGTGGGGGTGGAGCTGGGAGTGGGTGCGGCGAGAAAACAAGATGGGAAAGGACCAACCCCCAGCTCTCTACCAACCCCTGCAGGCACCTTCAGCCCTTGCCAGGGCTCCTGAGCAAGGAAGCCAAAGTCCAGGTTGGCTGGTCCAGCCAGCCCGGGAGGGGGAGGGGGGGGAACCGCGAAAAGATAATAAACAGGAATCCAGTCCCTGGCACCCAGCTCAGGACATCTTCTCAGGGCAGGCGTCCTGGAGTGCTCCCCTGCACACCGAGCCCCTCTGCGGGCAGAACTCCCGTTTATTTGTGTCTGACCCCCAGCTCCGGGGGTGGCCCAGCTCGGGAGGAGGGGGCCAATAGAACGGTGGCGAACCAGCCCGGTAGGGAGGGGCCGTCTTGGGAAAATCCCACTGGTGGAAGAAGCTGCTCTCTGGGGGTCCGGGAAGGAGACCTCAGCTGCTTCTAAGGTTTCCCTCTCTGCACACTCAGACAGTCCTTCTCAATTAGGAAGGGGCTAATTAGCTTGGCTAGCTCCTGGAGGCCCCCCACCCCACCTCCTGTCACTCTGGCCACAGCAATGTCCTGGAGAGCCCCCTGCTAACACAAGCACACGCACACGCCCGCACTCACCTGAGGTCATACTGAAAGCCCCAAGGGACTCTGGGGTGGCTCCCCGAGAGGGTCTGCGGAGCCTGGAACCCGGGTCCAGACCGCCCTCTGCTCCAAGGGTCCCTCTCTGGCACTCAGTGGGGCAAGTAAGGCAGCCTTTCAGAATTGCTAAAGTGCGGCGGATCCCCAGCGACCTCAGCGGCTGGAATGGCCTCGGGAAACCCCGGCGTCCAGGCCCCCAGCCCCGGGACTGAGCCGGTCAAACCACGTGCTCCGCCGGGAGTCGGACCCGGAACTCGTGCAGGCTTCTCCACTCTGGTTATCCGAGGTCCGGTCTGCGTACTCGGAGTGGGCGCGCGAGCGCCACGCAACAGGTGCGACCCCACCAGAAGCCCGCACGCGCCGAGCTGGTCTGTGCGGTCCCAGGCCCCGCCCCCACTGGGCCCGCCCCCGCCCCCGCCCTTCTCCTCTTCCCAGCGCCACGTGGCCAGCTTCCACTCACCCTGGTCTTGCGCGGAAACTGTGTGCCAGCTACCTCGTCCGTGTGAAACGGGATGGGATCGTGCAAGGGTTATCGTGAGGCTTCAACATAAAAATCCCTTGGCAGGGGCTTGGCACAAGGTCCGGCGTCCAGTAAGGTCCTATAGGGTAGTCCTGCATCAGAAACGAGGGCAGTGGGTTTGGTGTGCGGGTATTATCCCGGACTTCACTCTAAGCAGGCGTGGTAGGACAGCGCTCCAATTGTAAGTCATCTGATTTCTTTTGACAGGTGTAGGTAGACCGGGGGTGCGCTGATGCCCTGGCTCCCCTTTCCACGTTTATTTCTAGTAAGTGGTGGTTGAGTTTAGGCCCTGTAGCTAAATGACCCATGTCCAAAATCAAGGTCCTTCACTGAGCTACCTGATGCGGTTGGGCAAGTTATTTGCGAGCTTTCATTTTGCCTGTAAACTGTAACGAGTTGGCTTCCTTTTAACTTGAGTTTTTACAGAGCAGATCAGTTTCCCATCCAACGGTTCATACACAAGCCATTGGTTGCAATCCCCACAACGTAACTCTCATCCCACTTCTGCCTCAAGCTCCAGCGTCCATTTGACTTCCTGCCTTCTGAGCTTTACATCTGGGCAGCTGACGCCCTTTTGATCTCAACTGGTTTTATCTAGTGACGAAGATGAATGAGCTAATAAATATAACGTGCTCAGAGCAGAGCCGAGCCTGGAGTTATTACCACCCTCGTGTCCTAGGCCTTGGCTCTCATCGGTTGATTAGCCTGCCTCTAAGGAAGTGAAGTTGGACTGTGGAGGGAGCTGCAGATATACCACCCCACCCCTGCCATATAATTAAGTATATCAGCCACTGAGAATGGGCTTTCTATGAGACTTATCAGTTTCCCACTTGTGAGTCCTTTGCCCACACAGCTGTTTATACTGAAGCTGTTTTATCCAGATCCTCACTTGTCATTAGGCACACTCCTTCCCAAACTTCCTCCTCCACCAGGCTGCATTCTGGATGCCGAGTCTAGATCCTGCTCTCCACTTACATCTGGCACCACCTCCAGTGATGCCCTGCCTACTTCTCCCCAGCTGGGACAAACCAAAGCACATGGCCTCCACAGCCATGAGGGGAGTGGGGAGATGTTCCCCTCATAAGGAAACAATAAAAGGAAAAAGAAAACAAATATTGTATTTTGCTTATCAAATTAGCAAGGGTCAAGGGGAAAAAAATCCAAATGTTGGCAAGGATATGGTGAGATTGGCACACCCATCTCAGAGGGCTCAAAAAGTTCCTGGCAAAATCCCAGGGTCTGTTCATTCCACTTTCCAAAAGCTTAGACTATGTCATCGAGTGTCTTAAAAAGGCTCACTTTGTTTGACCCTCAAATTCTACTCCCAGAAAAGTACTCGGGGCAGCGAGGGAGTGGAAAAGTTGCCAGAAAAAAAAGTATGAACAAAGTTGTTCAGTACCACAATGCTGTTAAGACAGGAACATTGGAAATTTAAAGGTTCAACAATAGAAGGAATGGGGTGAGGGTTCCCACAGTTCAACAAGTCCTCAGCAGCTGTGGGGGAAGCCAGCCCCCCACAACTAATTACGGGTTCAGTAAGCGCAATTGTACGGTTGAGATACATATAAAGATTATAATAAAGTCATAGAGAATGAGAGAGAGAGTAAAATGAGGGAGTCAGACACACTTCATGGTAGCATGCTCACCTGGCCATGATCCCAGCAGCAGGTCCACAAACAGCGCAGGCAGAGGGGACAGGAGGAAGACTTATTACTAACTAAGGCTTATATACCTTTGGGGGCGGGCATGCCCCCTAATTACAAGTAAAGACATACGTCACAGGAAGGGGTTGTACCTTAGGCAATGCAAACAATAGGAGGGGGCTATACAATGGGCATAGGCGTAACAGGAAGGGGATGAGCTAGGGGTGTACACAATAGGAAGGGGAGGAACTATCTAGATTCATGATGGCAGCCTAACCTTGGTCAACCTTGAGTGGGCTTGACATCCCTGGACTCTCCTTCAAGGAAACAATCTACTATCCTTATCAGAAGGGAGTGAGCCCTACTTAGGGTGGGACAGACTATACCGTCTGATTGCTCTAGATGGCTGATAACCCTCAGGGAGAATAACCCCTGACCTACTTTTGTTGACCCCCCAAGTGTACAGTCATTTACCGTGTGTAGCGAGCAGCTAAGTTTGGCATATATTTGGGGGAGGCAACTCCGGAGAAATTGTGGAAAATGATAAAGACATACAGGCAGACAGTAGGGCACAGAGGCTCTTTGTCCCTATATCAGGAGCAAGAGAGTGAATGTATTTTCCAGTGGGTACATATAATGGGGCTTACAGATCTGTCAAAAGGCATGCAGGTCACACAGCTAACGTATCACATAGCCGATGGGTAATATAATCGGGTGTCACAATGAACAAGCAATAAAATGGCATTGTCTTGACCTAGTGCTAGTTGACCTTGAACTCCCCTGAGCCCTCCCAAGGAGGTTGCTACATTGCTCTCATCTACAGATAACCTTCAGGCACAGTGGACAGCCAGAGGCAAGGATGGTTGATCTTTCACGGTAGCTCCTTTATGACTCTCCTTAATGGAGGACTATTGTGGGGGGACATTATTCGGCCTGGAGACCTGGTCCATTTGAAAACATTTCTATCTCGGAACAATGAGGATTTCTCAAAATAGGGCTAGTTTTCCACACCTGTGGTTGCAAGGGTAGAAATAAGGCCAAATACACTCTACCAAGTCCTCGGTTTACCACTGGAGGGGTGTTTACATTATGTTATAAGCATATAATAAGATACCAAACACCAAAAACACCAGACTCACTCATCAGCCCCTATTGGGCAGGGTAGTGCTGCCCTCCTGTGCATTTCCGACATGGTAACTCTTTTTTTTTTTTTT